TACGCAGTAACCGTGATGCAATACCATATCGATACAGTGAGCGTGTCGCTGCTGTGCCGTCGTGTAGTGGTACTATCGAGCTCGTTGCTAGCAAGTCGACACTACATATGCATCATAACCTTGAAACAGTAAACGGTCACGAATCCATCCGACGACTCCCAACATCTGATGCACAGGTAGTGCATGAGGCGTCCATCTTGCGAAGAGTACTGGACTTGAAGCGTGCGCACGTGGGGCAACTCTGTACATAGGCTTTTACATCTTGCTCCAATGAAGCCAAAAGTACCATAGCGATAATTTCTGCTGCGTTCGACGAATCCCTGCATGCGCTGCCACGGGTCCGTCGTGCGCTTCTGCGATGAGTGTCGTACGAAGTGCTTGGCCAGCTGGTACACAGAGACGCGATACGCGTTCCTCGGACGCCACTACGAACAGCAATCCGTCCAGCTTGCGCACTGTTCCAATGTTGGAAACGACCTGCAGCGCTGGCGCCGACGACCTGATGATGTCCTTATAGAGGGGTCCCGACGATAACCTCTAAGAAACGTTCTCTTGGTAGTTTCGTCGAGCTGCACTGTGACCATTGTTAGCTGCGACGACTTTATCGTGGTAACAGCTTGTGGAACACCGACTCTGTGTACAGTAGCTACTCCTCCCCTCAAATAATCGGCTGTCCCACAAAGCAGACCGAGGTCACGTACTGATAGGTTTCCTAGCGCCATAGTCGAGATCGTGTGAGGTGTGCACGACGTTGTGCACATGTGTACCGCCAGACATGAAGCTGAGACGCTCGGTGTAACGGGCACAAAGCGATCAGGCTTGGTCTCAAGCCGTGATAGTGCATCCGCCACCACGTTGCTTGATCCTTTGACATGGTGAAGTACAAACGAAAATTGACCGAAAAAGTCCAACCAACGCGCCAACTTACCCGATACTTTGGGATGAGTTAGAAACCACTTGCACGCTGAATTGTCCGTAAACACATCAAATTCCGTCCCGTAGAGATAGTAGTGACGCCATTTCCGAGTGCTAATTTGATCGCAAACAGCACTTTCTCGTGCGTAGGCCAGTTTACTTCGTGTCTTGACATTTTTTCGACATAAATGTAAGCGGGTGGTCAATGCCGTCTTGAACTTGCGATAGTACCGCGCCACAGCAAAATCCGGATGCATCCGTGGTAACCACAAATCGTAGAGAGTAGTTGGGGAGAGCAAGCACTGGTGCCTGCTGCAAGGCTGCCTTCAAGTGTAGGAAGGCATGCTGTTGAGAGTCTGTCCAGGTCCATGCCACCTCGTTCTTCAGTTAGTCGCTGAGAGGAAGAACAATATTCGCAAATCGACCAATGAAGCGTCGATAATAGTAACATAAGCCCAGAAAACTTTGCAGCTCCTTTGCAGACGTAGGAACCGGCCACTGCTCGATAGCGCGTGTCTTGCGTTCGTTAACATGCAGACCTTGTGCAGACACTGTGTGTCCTAAGACGTTCACCATGGCGCAGCTAAACTGGCACTTGGAGAGGCGAGCATACAGCTTCTGCGAGCGCAAGACCTCGAACACGGCTGCTAAATGAGCGATATGTTCCGGCTCCGTCCTCGAGAATATACACAGGTCGTCCAAGTAAACTACCACAAAATCGAAACTCCCAAAGAGTAAGCGCATTAGTCTTGACCATACGCCTGGCATTCCACTCAATCCCATGGGGGCGACGCACCACTGGTAAGTCTCTGTCTCGGTCCTGAACGCCGTATACTTGCGACTCGCAGGCTCCACCAGCATTTGATGATAGCCTTGAGCTAGATCCAGCGTAGAGAAAAAGCGACAACCCTCCATCCGATCAAATAACTCTTCAACTCTGGGCAGCGGGATTTTGGGAATTTCGGTCTGGGAGTTCACATACCGGTAATCCACTACCCAACGCACCGGTAGCGAAGCGTTTTCCGAACGAAGCCATTCCGCGCGCGATGGGGCTTTGCCTGTCTTTGGGTCTTTCTTTGGTACAGCGAAAATACTGGATACCCACGGCGAGTCTGAGACCTCGACCCACTGCTTGCGTAGTAGCTCGTCCACAAAGCGTTTCAGCGCGTCTTGCTCGGTCTTGGACATGCGAAATGGGGCGCGTGAGCTTGGGCGCGCGTTTGATTTCATTGTCAGCGAATACGCAACCGTACGCGATACGGGCAGCTCATTGGGCAGCTCGTCTGGAAAGCAGTCATCGTAGTCTTGCAGTAATTGGCTGATAGCAGGAGAAGGAGAATCGACAACCTGACGCACCGTTTTAGCTGTTAGACTTTATACCACCGCATTGTTGCCATTACAGTCGTCGTCGCTCCGCTCTGCTACCCTGCGCAAGTCATCAGCGTTACACTCCGTGCGACCGGCGGCTTGACCTTCCTCCATGACTGCAAATAGGAGCTCGTCTTGCTCAATCAGTCATTCTGGATTTAATAGGCCAAAATCAAGCGTTACCTCGTGCGTGCGCATGTTGATGACCGGGTTAAATCGAGAGAACCACGGCTTGCCTAAAATAACGTCGTGGGTCGCAGGTAAGTTCCACTCCGAAAACAGCTTATTGGTCAGAACGTAACCCTCCAATTGCATGTCCGTCTTGACTTCATTGATCCATTGCGGTGCCGTAGTCGTACCATCAACTCGTTCTGCCACCGCCTTCTTGCGCCGAACCACTTCCGCTGCTAGGCCTTGGCGAGTGACGTTGTGATCAGCACCACTGTCCAACAACACCTTTACAGCGTGACCGTCCACCTTGTCCTTCTTAACCAGCAGCTGGTGGATCCGACTAACATCATCTTCCGTAGTGCCTCCACCAAAGTCTGCCGCATTGATTGTTAAATGCTCGAACAACTCAGTCTCAGTGTCTTGCTCCTTCTCTTCGTAGGCATTTACGCGATGATTGGAGGCCGTAGGAGTTTA